TTTTAGGCTGCAAAGAGTCTCTGGAACAAAGAAAATCTCAGTCTTCCCATACTAGAGACCAGAAGGAGTCCTTTTCTGCAAACTATTTATGATGGGCTGTTAAGTCATAAAACCATCCCAACTCCCCCTTCTCCTCTCCTGTCCTGTGGGAGCCATTTGCCAAGTTGATCTGGCACCTTTGATCCTCACCAAGGAGAGAGTCATGACAGCACCTAAACAGCACCTAAAGACTCTCAGACCATGAGAAACAAGATACTCTGGTCTGATGAAACCAAGATTGAACTCTTTGGCCTGAATGCCAAGCGTCACGTCTGGAGGAAACCTGGCACCATCCCTACGGTGAAGCATGGGGGTGGCAGCATCATGCTGTGGGGATGTTATTCAGCGGCAGGGACAGGGAGACTAGTCAGGATCGAGGGGAAGATGAACGGAGCAAAGTACAGAGAGATCCTTGATGAAAACCTGCTCCAGAGCGCTCAGGACCTCAGACTGGGGCGAAGGTTCACCTTCAGGACAACGACCCTAAGCACACAGCCAAGACAACGAAGGAGTGGCTTCGGGACAAGTCTCTGAATGTCCTTGCGTGGCCCAGCCAGAGCCCGGACTTGAACCTGATCTAACATCTCTGGAGTGACCTGAAAATAGCTGTGCAGCGACGCTCCCCATCCAACCTGACAGAGCTTGAGAGGATCTGCAGAGAAGAATGGGAGAAACACCCCAAATACAGGTGTGCCAAGCTTGTAGTGTCATACCCAATAAGACTCAAGGCTGCCAAAGGTGCTTCAGCAAAGTACTGATAAAGTGTCTGAATACTTATGTAAATGTGATATTTCAAATTATTATTATTTTTGCAAAAAGTTCTAAAAACCAGTTTTTTTATTTTTTTTGCTTTGTCATTATGGGGTATTGCAAGCAGCACAAACATAACTTGAGTTACAACCAGTTTTATGAGGGCGTGTCATTTTTAAAAATGATTTTCCCCCGTTGCCCCTCCTGATCCTGACAGTAGGGGCTGCTCTGATCATTCTCCTGACAGAGGAATATGCGGTGCCCAGTTGATAATCACTGCGAAAATTGCCTCGAAACTGAACCTAAACTATACCAAAACAAATTTCACACATTTAACAACAGATTAAATCAATTAAGTCAAGTATTCCATATATACAAAAGTATGTGGACACCCCTTCAAATTAGTGGATTCGGCTATTTCAGCCACACCCGTTGCTGACAGGTGTATAAAATCGAGCACACAGCCTTGCAATCTCCATAGACAAACATTGGCAGTAGAATGGCCTTACCGAAGAGCTCAGTAACTTTCAATGTGGCACCGTCCACAACTCAGTTCGTCAAATATCTGCCCTGCTTTAGCTGCCCCGGTTAACTGTAAGTGCTGTTATTGTGAAGTGGAAACGTCTAGGAGCAACAACGGCTCATCCGCAAAGTGGTAGGCCACACAAGCTTACAGAACGGGACCGCCGAGTGCTGAAGTACGTAGCGCGTAAAAATTGTCTGTCCTCGGTTGCAACACTCACTACCGAGTTCTAAACTGCCTCTGGAAGCAACGTCAGCACAATAATTGTTCGTCGGGAGGTTCATGAAATGAGTTTCCATGGCCGAGCAGCCGCACACAAGCCGTCTCACTTTCAGAATGATCACTAATTGAATGGATTATCCTCAGGCATGTTGACCAGGCCAGGGACCGATCCCATCCTCTCCATCTCTGATTGACCTACGACTCAGACCATACATGCACACACACACACACGTGTGAACACACACACTTGTTTGTTTGTATTGGAGAGTCAAATATACAGTAATATATAATCCTTTAAAATGGTATCTGTTGTGTCTTGTCTTCCAGATGGATTGTAGATATGGAAGGAGCCACGGGCACACTCTATGAAGGAGAGAAATTTCAGCTGCTTTTCAAATTCAGTAGTCGGTATCCTTTCGATTCACCTCAGGTAAGTAGCTAGCCTAGCGCCTCTTCATTGAGTACTGTAGCTACTAGCTCGCTAGCTAGCCTAGCGCCTCTTCATTGAGTACTGTAGCTACTAGCTCGCTAGCTAGCCTAGCGCCTCTTCATTGAGTACTGTAGCTACTAGCTCGCTAGCTAGCCTAGCGCCTCTTGAGTACTGTAGCTACTAGCTCGCTAGCCTAGCGCTTCCTCATTGATGAGTACTGTAGCTACTAGCTAGCCTAGCGCCTCCTCATTGAGTACTGTAGCTACTAGCTAGCCTAGCGCCTCATCATTGATGAGTACTGTAGCTACTAGCTAGCCTAGCGCCTCATTGATGAGTACTGTAGCTACTAGCTAGCCTAGCGCCTCCTCATTGATGAGTACTGTAGCTACTAGCTAGCCTAGCGCCTCCTCATTGATGAGTACTGTAGCTACTAGCTAGCCTAGCGCCTCCTCATTGAGTACTGTAGCTACTAGCTAGCCTAGCGCCTCCTCATTGAGTACTGTAGCTACTAGCTAGCCTAGCGCCTCCTCATTGATGAGTACTGTAGCTACTAGCTAGCCTAGCGCCGCCTCATTGATCAGTACTGTAGCTACTAGCTAGCCTAGTGCCTCCTCATTGATGAGTACTGTAGCTACTAGCTAGCCTAGTGCCTCCTCATTGATCAGTACTGTAGCTACTAGCTAGCCTAGTGCCTCCTCATTGATCAGTACTGTAGCTACTAGCTAGCCTAGCGCCTCCTCATTGAGTACTGTAGCTACTAGCTAGCCTAGCGCCTCATTGATGAGTACTGTAGCTACTAGCTAGCCTAGCGCCTCATTGATGAGTACTGTAGCTACTAGCTAGCCTAGCGCCTCCTCATTGATGAGTACTGTAGCTACTAGCTAGCCTAGCGCCTCCTCATTGATGAGTACTGTAGCTACTAGCTAGCCTAGCGCCTCCTCATTGACGAGTGCTGTAGCTACTAGCTAGCCTAGCGCCTCATCATTGATGAGTACTGTAGCTACTAGCTAGCCTAGCGCCTCCTCATTGATGAATAGTGCTGTATAGCTTAGTGACTATTGAATCAGCAAGCTTAGGACACTGTCAATGACACAAGATCCATCCATGCTCTGTGAGGACGCTGAGTGGGCATGTTGCTTAGTAATGGGTCATTTATCGAACTGAATGAAGATGGTGGAAATCATTCTGTAAGGTAGAGATGTTTCCTGTCTACTGGTCTAATGAAGAGGGTGGATATTTTGTCTCCAAAGCCCCATATACTACCCACCATTGTGACCTGTACTCTCTCGTTGGCTGGCCCTCACTACATATTCGTCGCCAAACCCACTGGCTCCAGGTCATCTATAAATCACTGCTAGGCAAATCCCCGCCTTATCTTAGCTCATTGGTCACCATAGCAACACCCATCCGTAGTCTGCGCTCCAGCAGGTATATCTCACTGGTCATCCCCAAAGCCAACACCTCCTTTGGCCGCCATTCCTTCCAGTTCTCTGCTGCCAATGACTGGAACGAACTGCAAAAATCTCTGAAGCTGGAGACTCTTATCTCCCTCACTAACTTTAAGCGTCAGTTGTCAGAGCACCTTACCGATCACTGCACCTGTACACAGCCCATCTGTAATTAGCCCACCCAACTACCTCATCCCTATATTGTTATTTATTTTGCTCATTTGCACCCCAGTATCTCTATTTGCACATCTTCTGCACATCTATCACTCCAGTGTTAATACTAAATTGTAATTATTTTGCACTATGGCCTATTTATTGCCTTACCTCCATAACTTACTACATTTGCACACACTGTATATAGATTTTCTATTTTCTGTTGTATTATTGACTGTACGTTTTTGTTTATTCCATATGTAACTCTGTGTTGTTGTTGTTTTTATCGCACTGCTTTGCTTTATCTTGGCCAGGTCGCAGTTGTAAATGATAAAAAATAGAGGGTTCCAGTCTATGACGCTGTTTTAAACACAGCATAAGAACTAGACTGACTTGAGTTCAGTTAGAGGATGGATGTTTGCTGTTTTATCAAGCAGGGCGAGAAGCATCCAGCTGCAGATAATGCACGCTGACTCCACCTGGTCTGCAAATCACAAAGCGCATGCATCTCAGATGGTATTTTTGCAACCTGAACTCGCGACGTGTTCCAGGGCGGCGTCACACGGGGGAGAACGAACTGCGCATGTTATGTCTCCATGAGGCGCCATCTTTAACCGACTTCCTTTGGCTTCAATGCACTATTGAGTCTTCACATAGGAATGAATGGTGTCACGTGATCCATGGCTTTGTCCATTCATGTATACAGTCATTGGCTACGCACTTATCAGTTGGCGCACTAGCTCTTGTCCAAGGCGTTATATTAGTACATTTGTATCAAAGTGGTCGAAGTTTGGGAGAGTTAGTTAGCTAGCTATGTGTTCGGGATGAATTGAGTTTTGATAATTTTTGGATACAATGTTAATGCCAAAATCTACTCTTGATTTAGCTGTCACCTGGATAAAGTGGCTATACTGACTGGCTAGCTAGCTAGCTAGAACTACTAATGTTAGCTAGCTAGTAGCTTAGTAGTATCTGCTTTAGCTGCTGGAGAAGGTATCTGCTAGAGCCAACTCTATTGAGCTGGGCTAGTGTTAGTGATTCATTCTTGAATTGTGGTTTTGATACAAAGTAACTTGAGAAGAACTGTCAAGATGAACAATATGCTTTTTTGTTGATGTTTGGTTTACATGATTTCCCGCAGTTTCTGACCAAAATATTATATAACTCACTAGCCTGGGTCATATTCATTAGTGTACACTGTAGAAATACGTTGAAAAACGTTTTACAAAAATAATAAAGAGGTTGTCCATTGGACAAGTTTGGGTAGTCCCCTCTCCATTTTGGTCCATTTTCTTTTGTTTGGTGTCTTGTAATACGACCCTGATGTCTAACACCATAAACACCACATTTTGATTAGATAGGATTAATCAAAACCACACTATTCAACCTCTGCCACCCTGCTTAGTGCTGATGCCATGATACCATCTGTGCCTGGATGCCAACACAATACGGCCGACACGTTGGCTTTGTGGCTCATAATGTGATCATGCCTTGGACACAGTGGAGACAGATCTCTCTCCCTCTGCTCTTATCTCTTTATCTAGCAGAGTATGGGAGCGGAGCGAGATTCCCAAAGGCTGGAGCGTCTGCCTTCTCGCCCGCTCCAATTTCGCTCCAGTAGCGCTCCCTTCACAAGCTCAGGGCGTGCCCGGCCCAGCATGCATTTGTGCTGCTATAGCCCCTTGCTTTAGCTACTGTCATGAAGTTCGCTGAATATTTTCATAAAGAAACGGATAAAACACACAGGTGCTAAATCAAGGTAACTTACGAAGATGAGGACCAAGACCAACAGAGTGTGGTGATGTAGTGTCCACGACTAAATAATCATTGTGGAATCTGAAAAGACACGTACCCCGAAAGCATGATGGTGAACTTACTACGTTCACATGCTAAAAGAAAGGAACGAGGTGGGTAGATAACTGTGTCATTGTAGCAAAGTATTTATAAACTAAAAATCAGATTGTTTAAACATTTAGTTCATTTTCGTTCTATTATCTATACAATAGGCCATCATTGATTTTGGCCCAATAGACCTGGTATATTCCCACGTTCAAGGAGCTTTCCGGTTTGTTTGGGTTATTTTGCCTTAAAACATTTAGGCCTACCTATATAAAAAAATAAAATAAACTGCGTCTCTGCCCAGCCTGGCAAGCGTGGCCAAAAGGGTGTTTAGTATCCCCAGTGGCTCTGCAAGCGTGGAGAGGATGTTCTCCGCTGCACCATCGCATGAGCCTTAAGTCAGACTGGCCAAACTTGTGTTTCTAAAAATGTATCCTAAAAATGAATTCAAAGGCACGAAAGTCATTTAGTTTCATTTGTATTTAATTTTAAGTAAATCACAGCCTATACAGTGGCTTGCGAAAGTATTCACGCCCCTTGGCAGTTTTCCTATTTTGTTGTCTTACAACCTGGAATTAAAATTGCTTTTTTGGGGGTTTGTATCATTTGATTTACATAAGATGCAAAATATATTTTTTGGTGAAACATTAGACAAATAAGACAAAAAAACAGAACTTGAGCGGGCATAACTATTCACCCCCCCCAAAATCAATACTTTGTAGAGGCACCTTTTGCAGCAATTACATCTGCAAGTCTCTTGGGGTATGTCTATAAGCTTGGCACATCTAGCCACTGGGATTTTTGCCCATTCTTCAAGGCAAAACTACTCCAGCTCCTTCGAGTCCTCTGTAACTCAGCTGGTAGAGCACAGCGCTTGAAACGCCAGGGTAGTGGGTTCGATCCCCGGGACCACCCATACACACAAATGTATGCACGCATGACTGTAAGTCGCTTTGGATAAAATCGTCTGCTAAATGGCATAATAATAATAATAATAATAATAATAATAATAATAATAATAATAATAAGTTGGATGGGTTCCGCTGGGGTACAGCAATCTTTAAGTCATACCACAGATTCTCAATTGGATTGAGGTCTGGGCTTTGACTAGGCCATTCCAAGACATTTAAATGTTTCCCCTTAAACCACTCAAGTGTTGCTTTAGCATTATGCTTAGGGTCATTGTCCTGCTGGAAGGTGAACCTCCGTCCCAGTCTCAAATCTCTGAAAGACTGAAAGAATTTCCCTGTATTTAGCGCCATCCATCATTCCTTCAATTCTGACCAGTTTCCCAGTCCCTGCCGATGAAAAACATCCCCACAGCATGATGCTGCCACCACATGCTTCACTGTGGGGATGGTGTTCTCGGGGTGATGAGAGACATAGCGTTTTCCTTGATGGCCAAAAAACTCAATTTTTAGTCTCATCTGACCAGAGTACCTTCTTCCATATGTTTGGGGAGTCTCCCACATGGCTTTTGGCGAACACCAAACGTGTTTGCTTATTTTGTTCTTTAAGCAATGGCTTTTTTCTGGTCACTCTTCCGTAAAGCCCAGCTCTGTGGAGTTTACGGCTTAAAGTGGTCCTATGGACAGATACTCCAATCTCTGCTGTAGAGCTTTGCAGCTCCTTCAGGGTTATCTTTGGTCTCTTTGTTGCCTCTCTGATTAATGCCCTCCTTGCCTGGTCCGTGAGTTTTGGTGGGCGGCCCTCTCTTGGCAGGTTTGTTTTGATGCCATATTCTTTCCATTTTATAATAATGGATTAATCGTGCTCAGTGGGATGTTCAAAGTTTCCGATATTTTTTTATAACCCAACCCTGATCTGTACTTCTCCACAACTTTGTCCCTGACCTGTTTGGAGAGCTCCTTGGTCTTCATGGTGCTGCTTGCTTGGTGGTGCCCCTTGCTTAGTGGTGTTGCAGACTCTGGGGCCTTTCAGAACAGGTGTATATATACTGAGATCATGTGACACTTAGATTTCACAGAGGTGGACTTTATTTAACTAATTATGTGACTTCTGAAGGTAATTGGTTGCACCAGATCTTATTTAGGGGCTTCATAGCAAAGGGGGTGAAAACATATGCACGCACCACTTTTCCGTTATTAATTTTGTATAATTTTTTTAAACAAGTAAAAAAAAATGTTTTATCACCAATTTGGACTATTTTGTGTATGTCCATTACATGAAATCCCAAAAAAAATCCATTTAAATTACAGGTTGGAATGCAACAAAATAGGATAAACGCCAAGGGATGATGAATAGTTTTGCAAGGCACCGTATGCACAATTTATAGACCTATAATGATTTAATAGAACAAAATGTTGTGTAGGTGCTGAGCGCTAAATGTCCCTACCAGCCAAGTGTGTCGCACTCGCTAATGCTCCACAATATATTTATTTGTAGCCTTGAAATAATTGAAATAACAACACAGCCTAAATAATTAATTAAGGCTCCCTGTCTGGCTCCTGACCCATTTAGAGTGTTTATATGCTGTTTTAATATGACGTGTATCCTATTTGAAACGATGAGCGCTTCTTACAGTCACCTTTTCATGTTTATTCAAATACTTTCCATTCAAATACATAGGGTTTGGTTTCAATACTTCAAAACCAAATGAGCGAATTTGGAGCGGCATTTTTTTTTGGGGGGGGGGGATTTCCAACCGCTCAACTCCGCTCATGCTCTATCTAGCTCCTCTCTCTCTCTCTGTCTCTCTCTGTCTCTGTCTCTCTCTGTCTCTGTCTCTCTGTCTCTCTCTCTGTCTGTCTCTCTGTCTGTCTCTCTCTCTCTCTCTCTCTCTCTCTCTCTCTCTCTCTCTCTCTCTCTCTCTCTCTCTCTCTCTCTCTGTCTCTCGCTCTCTTTTTTCTCCCCCCTGCCAGTGTATTAAAGCCCATTGGCCTGGTTTGAGGGGATTAGCTTATCGTGACAATGTTATCAGCAGCAGCAGCCCTGCCTTATAGGAGGTTGGTTGGTACAGAGAGAATATTAGATAAACAGCCCCACACCACAGATAACTACCAGCACAACACGGTCCTCTATATGGGACTCAGTCTCCTCTAGTGTTAAGTTTCTCACTGCTCCAGATAGAAGTTCCACTAAGGCACAGATCTAGGATCAGTTTAATCCTTAAATCCTAATCTTAGACATTAGAGGGAAGTCTCGAAACTGACCTGAGATCAGCGTCTAGGAGGTAACTTCATCCTACTCCCCTTCTGTGGTCCTCTGTAGCTCAGCTGGTAGAGCACGGCGCTTGTAACGCCAAGGTAGTGGGTTCGATCCCCGGGACCACCCATACACACACCAAAAAAAAAAATGTATGCACGCATGACTGTAAGTCGCTTTGGATAAAAGCGTCTGCTAAATGGCATATTATTGTTATTATTATAACACAGGCCTGATAGGAACGCTTGTCATAATGGGTGTCTGTGGCCACAGAAGTGACAGGACCCTGCTGCACCCGGGGGGCTTTGTGTCTGCGTACTATGCCACCGCTTATAACTAGAAGCTAAGTATAACTATAAGAAATGTATAGAGGGCTCCATCTTATATAGAGGGCTCCAGCTTTGCATTTGGTTTTGCTAACTTGCTCGCTAAGTGGCTAGATGTCAAAATCAAGCTTCTTGGTGACAGCCTGAGCACCAGTCTCCTTTAGCTAGGATTCCTTGTCATTGGCAGAGAGACTGGCCCTTTTCTGCCATTTTCAAATATGAACATTCTATCATTAATGAGCTCAAGGAGAACAGAGGAGTTGATCCTGATTCGATAACCCTCACAGCCGTCCTCCAATCACAGCGATTGTCCAAATATTGGAACTCTTATCACTTTTTTTCTTCTCCACAGAACACCTTGGTATCCGGTTGCTAAGTAACCATTTTTTTTGTTTGTCCAAACTAAACCAGTCTGTCAAAAGTTGCTAGTTCACGTCTAAATTCTCAAACTAAATGCATTTCTAAATACAATTCTAAGCCTCAAAATACAACAGCTTGCCTAGCTAACAGCTGAATGTTTGTTTTGGACTTTGTTATCATTCTGATTCTATTTTCCAGGCTGCACATGTTGTCATGGAAAATATTCATGTTATTTCCAGCAACCAATGAGCAACTCCACCATAATTCCAGCTGCATATTGAATGTTGAGATTGACGAAAGGCCAGTCTCTTTGACAATGACATGGAGTGGCAAGCAGTGGAATGTTAGCTAAAAAGACTGGGTCCCAGCCTAGAGACATTCAAGCCTCACCTGGATCAAGGTCCCTGAACCCCTAAACTGTTTCTGTGAAATAGCGCCCCTTGTGTGCACTTCCGGTAATAGCGCATACTTCGGTATGGTACAGAAACGGTATGAAGATTTGGATACCGCCCAACCCTAATATGAATACATTAGCATAAAGGGGTGGAACAGGGCAGCAACCACCTGCTCTGTCTACCCTACCTGTCCTCACCTGCTCTGTCTACCCTACCTGTCCTCACCTGCTCTGTCTACCCTACCTGTACTCACCTGCTCTGTCTACCGTACCTGTCCTCACCTGCTCTGTCTACCCTACCTGTCCTCACCTGCACCCACCTGTCCTCACCTGCTCTGTCTACCCTACCTGTCCTCACCTGCTCGGTCTAACCCTACCTGTCCTCACCTGCTCTGTCTACCCTACCTGTCCTCACCTGCTCTGTCTACCCTACCTGTCCTCACCTGCTCTGTCTACCCTACCTGTCCTCACCTGCTCTGTCTACCCTACCTGTCCTCACCTGCTCTGTCTACCCTACCTGTCCTCACCTGCTCTGTCTAACCCTACCTGTCCTCACCTGCTCTGTCTACCCTACCTGTCCTCACCTGCTCTGTCTACCCTACCTGTCCTCACCTGCTCTGTCTACCCTACCTGTCCTCACCTGCTCTGTCTACCCTACCTGTCCTCACCTGCTCTGTCTACCCCTACCTGTCCTCCACCTGCTCTGTCTACCTACCTGTCCTGACCTGCTCTGTCTACCCTACCTGTCCTCGACCTGCTCTGTCTACCCTACCTGTCCTCACCTGATCTGTCTACCCTACCTGTCCTCACCTGCTCTGTCTACCTACCTGTCCTCACCTGCTTGTCTACCCTACCTGTCCCTAACTGCTCTGTTACCCTACTGACCTGCTCTGTCTACCTACCTGTCCTCACCTGCTCTGTCTACCCTACCTTCCTGACCTGCTCTGTCTACCCTACGTCTGTCACCTGCTCTGTCTACCCATACCTGACCTGCTCTGTCTACACCAGTCCTCACCTTCCCTGTCTACCCTACCTGTCCTCACCTCTCTGTCTACCCTACCTGTCCTCACTGCTCTGTCTACCCTACCTGTCCTCACTTGCTCTGTCTACCCTACCTGTCCTCACCTGCTCTGTCTACCCTACTGTCCTCACCTGCTCTGTCTACCCTACCTGTCCTGACCTGCTCTGTCTACCCTACCTGTCCTCACCTGCTCTGTCTACCCTACCTGTCCTCACCTGCTCTGTCTACCCTACCTGTCCTCACCTGCTCTGTCTACCCTACCTGTCCTGACCTGCTCTGTCTACCCTACCTGTCCTCACCTGCTCTGTCTACCCTACCTGTCCTGACCTGCTCTGTCTACCCTACCTGTCCTCACCTGCTCTGTCTACCCTACCTGTCCTCACCTGCTCTGTCTACCCTACCTGTCCTCACTTGCTCTGTCTACCCTACCTGTCCTCACCTGCTCTGTCTACCCTACCTGTCCTCACCTGCTCTGTCTACCCTACCTGTCCTGACCTGCTCTGTCTACCCTACCTGTCCTGACCTGCTCTGTCTACCCTACCTGTCCTCACCTGCTCTGTCTACCCTACCTGTCCTCACCTGCTCTGTCTACCCTACCTGTCCTCACCTGCTCTGTCTACCCTACCTGTCCTCACCTGCTCTGTCTACCCTACCTGTCCTCACCTGCTCTGTCTACCCTACCTGTACTCACCTGCTCTGTCTAGACTGCCTCAGTAATTACTGTTGTCACGTTCTGTTGCATAATTAAAAACACATTTCCTGCAATTCTACACATTTGCCATGGAGTTGAGAGAAAATTTTGAAGTTTTAAAGCTAATTTCCTGCAATTCTATGCATTTTGCCATGGCTAATTCTGTGTTCTTTTTCAATACTGCTAAATTCCTTGTTTTTGGAATTTTCAATTCTCACTAAATGTCTAGCTTTTATTTTGGTGATTGTTAGTTTTCAAAGATTATATGATAAAAAAATATATAGGTCCATTATCTTTCTACATACTTTATATCTGGTTTTAGTCGGTTAAGTTTACACTGAAAGCGTTTTTCCATCCCAAAAATGAATAATAAAAAGTCCAAGGATTTCAATGTCAGAAAAATCCCTGACTGAATGCACCCTTTGTACGTACAGCAGCGCTGTAGAGGCCTCTCCTCTCCTCTCCTCTCCTCTCCTCTCCTCTCCTCTCCTCTCCTCCTCTCCTCTCCTCTCCTCTCCTCTCCTCTCCTCTCCTCTCTCCCCATCACCACCCCGTCCCTACTGCCAATGTGCAAAAAATTCAAAAAACCTTTTTTCGCTTTGTCATTATGGGGTATTGTGTGTCGATCGATGAGGATTCTTATTTATTTAATCAATTTTAGAATAAGGCTGTAACGTAACAAAATGTGGAAAAAGTCAAGGGTTCTGAATAATTTCCGAATACACTGCATATAGTAGATGGATCTCTCTTTAACAAGGAAAATTGATTAGGAATGTGTCTAATCACGTTGTTGGTTTTCCATTTCAGGTAATGTTCATGGGAGAGAATATACCTGTCCATCCTCACGTTTATAGCAACGGTCACATCTGTCTTTCAATACTAACAGAAGACTGGTCACCAGCCCTGTCAGTGCAATCAGTCTGTCTCAGCATTATCAGCATGCTGTCCAGCTGCAAAGAAAAGGTAAGTGGGCAACAGCCTTTCCCTTTGGGAACGCCAAATCATATAATATTATAAAAGCCTGGTATAATGTTACTGTTACAGGGGTTAGTTCATTATACACTGAACAAAAATATAAACGCAACATGGTAAAGTGTTGGTCCCACGTTAAAATGAGATGAAAAAATATCCCAGAAATGTTCCATATGCACAAAAAGCTTATTTCTCTCAAATGTTGTGCACAAATTTGTTTGCATCCCTGTTAGTGAGCATTTCTCCTTTGCCAAGATAATCCATCCACCTGACAGGTGTAGCATATCAAGAAGCTGATTATTACACAGGTGCACCTTGTGCTGGTAACAATAAAGGCCACTCTAAAATGTGCAGTTTTGTCACACAACACAATGCCACAGATGTCTTAAGTTTGAGGGAAGCGTGCAATTGGCATGCTTACCGCAGGAATGTCCACCAGAGCTGTTGCTAGAGAATTACATTTTAATTTCTCTACCATAAGCCGCCTCCAACATCGTTTTAGAGAATTTGGCAGGACGTCCAACCGGCCTCATAACCGCAGACCTGATGTCTACGTTGTGAACAGAGTGCCCCATGGTGGCGGTGGGGTTATGGTATGGGCAGGCATAAGCTACGGACAACGAACACAATTGCATTTTATTGATGGCAATTTGAATGCACAGAGATACCGTAACGAGATCCTGAGGCCCGTTGTGGTGCCATTCATCCACTGCCATCACCTCATGTTTCAGCATGATAATGCACAGCCTCATGTCGCAGGGATCTGTATACAATTCCTGGAAGCTAAAAATGTCACAATTCTTCCATGGGCTGCATACTCACCAGACATGTCACCCATTGAGCATTTTTTGGGATGCTCTGGATCGACGTGTACGACGGCGTGTTCCAGTTCCCGCCAATATCCAGCAACTTCGGACAGCCATTGAAGAGGAGTGGGACAACGTTCCACAGGCCACAATCAACAGCCTCATCAACTCTATGTGAAGGAGATGTGTCGAGCTGCATGAGGCAAATGGTGGTCACACCAGATACTGACTGGTTTTCTGATCCACGCACTTTTTTATTTTTTTATTTTTTTAAGGGTATCTGTGACCAACGGATGCATATCTGTATTCCCAGTCATGTGAAATCCATAGATTAGGGCCTAATTAATTTATTTCAATTGGCTGATTTCCTTATGAACTGTAACTCAGTCAAATGTTGAAATTGTTGCATGTTGCGTTTTATTGTTGTTCAGTGTACATCATTTTAAGCATGCCCCATTGACACAGCACTCTATAGGACAGAAGGGATGTCACGGTCACTCCATGGGAGGGCCCAGTGTCGGCTGCTTTAAGGTCTGTCCTTTCAATCTGTGGACTATTAACACCTTTAGAACCAGGTGAGGGGAGGTCCTTAACTAATCAATGACCTTTAATTCATCAATCATGTACAAGGGAGGAGCAAAAACCCGGCAGACACACACGGCCCTCTGGAATGAGTTTGACGCGTGAAGTAGAGGGATGATTTAGTAAAGGCTGAATCAGAATAAAGACGTCTCTGCACTATTTGAACCTCAATCTAAATGTCCACGCTGGAGTTTCCAGCGTCTTAGAGGCCAACTTCACGCTTGCTCTGAATGACGTTGTCCTCTGCATGCCATGTTTATGCCAGCACTTCTCTGATGATGATGATGATGATGATGATGATTGTCTCTCTGCAGAGACGGCCCCCTGATAACTCCTTTTACGTAAGAACATGTAACAAAAATCCAAAGAAGACAAAATGGTGGTATCACGGTGAGTAGTTAGGTTACGTCCTCTGTTGTAGCCAGTTATTTAGATAACTGTGTTTAATATGTAAAAGGGTTAAACCATTCCATCCTCACACAGACGTTATGTTTACCTATTACTATTAGAATGTTTATCCTGTCTAGTTAATGGGAATGTTCATAAATCCTATTAGAATGGTTAACCTGTCTAGTTAATGGGAATGTTCATAAATCCTATTAGAATGGTTATCCTGTCTAGTTAACGGGAATGTACATAAATCCTATTAGAATGGTTATCCTGTCTAGTTAATGGGGATGTACATAAATCCTATTAGAATGGTTATCCTGTCTAGTTAATGGGAATGTACATAAATCCTATTAGAATGGTTATCCTTTCTAGTTAATGGGGATGTACATAAATCATATTAGAATGGTTATCCTGTCTAGTTAATGGGAATGTACATAAATCCTATTAGAATGGTTATCCTGTCTAGTTAATGGGGATGTACATAAATCATATTAGAATGGTTATCCTGTCTAGTTAATGGGAATGTACATGAATCTTATTAGAATGGTTATCCTGTCTAGTTAATGGGAATGTTCATAAATCTTATTAGAATGGTTATCCTGTCTCGTTAATGGAGATGTACATAAATCCTATTAGAATGGTTATCCTGTCTAGTTAATGGGAATGTACATAAATCCTATTAGAATGGTTATCCTGTCTAGTTAATGGGAATGTACATAAATCATATTAGAATGGTTATCCTGTCTAGTTAATGGGGATGTACATAAATCCTATTAGAATGGTTATCCTGTCTAGTTAATGGGAATGTACATAAATCATATTAGAATGGTTATCCTGTCTAGTTAATGGGGATGTACATAAATCCTATTAGAATGGTTATCCTGTCTAGTTAATGGGAATGTACATAAATCCTATTAGAATGGTTATCCTGTCTAGTTAATGGGGATGTACATAAATCCTATTAGAATGGTTATCCTGTCTAGTTAATGGGAATGTACATAAATCCAATACTCAAAATCCAACACTGAACTACAGATTCTATTAGGATGAATGAATGTAATAATGTCCATGTATTTTATAGTGAAATTGTGTGTGTGTTTGCGTGTGTGTGTGTGTGTGTGTGTGTTTGCGTGTGTGTGTGTGCCCTCGCGTGCGTGCTTGTGTGTGTTTTCTTTCCCAGATGATACATGCTAATGTACTAACTTTGTAATCGTCCTAGAAGAAAGAAGTCATACTGACCCACATAAAGCACTTTTTAATCATACAGTCACTGAACTCTGACCTTTGACTGGAACAATGGACACCATGATGCGCTGGAGACTCTTTTTGAACTGCATTTCCCATTGGGCAGTTGGGTGCATGTTTTAGCCAGTTGTAATATACAAAATGAGAAAATAAAGGAATATTTATATGTACCAACAATAGATTGTTTTGGCAAAAAGGTTATGTGGCCAGCGATAGAAATGGTTTTGTAGTGAGATTATATTATATTACTATTGTTTTAAGAAGATTCTTATTTCCTTTTGTGTTTGTTTGGGTACATTTTAAAGGTTGTCATCGTGTGTTGTGTAAAAATAACAATGGTGGATGCATGCTTGGGCCTACAAAGACGTTATTTCAGGAAGAGGATCTGAGCATCTTATACCAGGAAGAGGATCTGAGCATCTTATACCCCAAGAAAATGCTTCATCTTTTTGTTTTTACTGAAATTAAATGCACTGTGAAAAAAATCTAGAGGTACCACTCAATGTTAGTTATTCCAGACATGCAGTTAACTTCTACTGTAAAACCACAAACATCACCACTTCCTGTTTTCAGGGGATAATAGGGTTTTAAGTTGCTTTACTTTTAACCCTTAAAATCAAGAGCAGTACTTCCTCTCCGCCTTCCATCTTCCAAGGACAGACTTGATTTGAGAAGTTGTGTATTTGTCTGGTCTATGTGTTGGTACTGAACAGGTTGACACCAGAACGATGGTTAGAACTATTTCGTTCACTGAAGGACTGTTACGTACCTCTCTAGAATAATATGGGCTGAAGTCATTTAATGGTGTTTGCTAGTCCATTCTGCAAAGCCCAGAGGTGTATGAAAACATCACTTCCATGTAAAGCCCAGAGGTGTATGTCTGTTGTTGTGATCCATTTGTATGATACCTTGGTTTGGTTTGTTTTTGATGAGATTAATGCTTTAATCTTCTAAAAACATTTATCTGATTTTTACGATGTTTGTCTTGAGTTGTTTTTGTACTGTTTTACAGCTAGCTGACACTTTTTTAAAGGGGAGTTGTGTATTTAATTTAAAATCTCTATTTTCATCTCCAGAGTGGTAGTAATGGTGAAAGGAATAGTGTGAAAACTGTTGTAGCTACACGATTCCTCAGTCAGAGATTGGTTAGAGGATTCCACCGTCAAGATTGGCTAGGCTACCAGGGTTCCCGTGTCAGAGATTGGTGACCGATTCCCGGTCAGAGATTGGTAGACGGTTTTCCCGTTCAGAGATTGGCAGGCTACACATTCCCGTCAAGATGCAACGGATTATCGTCAGAGATTGGCTTACGGATTCCCGGTCAGAGTTGTGCTATGACGGTTTTCCCCGTCAGAGACTTGTAGGCGAGGATTCCCGGTCAGAGATTGGCTAGACGGATCCCCGGTCAGGATTTGCTGACGGATTCCCCGGTCAGAGATTGGCTAAAACGGATCCCGGTCAGAGATGGTAGACGATTCCCGGTCAGAGATGGCTAGACGGATTCCCCCGGTCAGAGATTGGCTAGACGGATTCCCCCGGTCAGAGATTGGCTACTAACGGATTCCCCCGGTCAGAGATTGGCAGGCTACACGGATTCCCCCGGTCAGAGATTGGCCAGCTAGACGGATTCCCCCGGTCAGAGATTGGCTCAGGTACTTTTTCAATACGAGATCACCTCTGAAAAATATATCCTATCAGATATTTTGCATTTAACTATATTTTCACCAAAAAGAGACTTATGTTGTGAAATCACAACGTATGAAACGATTCTATATATGTCTTAACAAATTGTAGAGATGACGGTATTACGGAAGTTAGAAATGGGTGCGTTCATGTTTTTATTTTTACTAATTAGAGTGACTATAATAGGATCGCTTTATTACTTTGAGTTTCTCTGCGATGTTTCTGGTCAATAGGATGTGTACGGTTAGTTTTCAACAACACAACTACTGTTTCTCTGACCAGGTTGGTAGTTAAACTGTAGAGATTCTTGCTGAGTTTATATGCACGTTTGTGCCATTAAAATCAAGCAAAACTTCTGAAGTCTAAAACAAAATTCTTAGTTTTGCAAACTAAAATGATGATATTGCAAACAAAGCATAAACCCAAAAGTATTGAGAGCAAAAAATATATATATATTGCAAGGAAATAATTTTGAAATATGCGAACAAATGAATTCAGTTATTTTATTTATTTTTTCACGTTTTGGCACGTTCATTGCAGCGACATAGCACCCTGCATCCCACTTCTGGTTTGCCTCTGAAGCTATGCAGGGTCGGTCCTGGTCGGTCCCTGGATGGGAGACCAGATGCTGCTCGAGGGCCAGTAGGGGCATCAGGCAAAGACGGAGGTGTTTGAACACAATCAAGTGATCATTTAAAAATGTTTCACTGAAAACTTTTTTGAAATTCATTTGTTCGCATTTCAAAATGATTTCCTTGCAATATATTTATGTTTTGCACTCAGTACTATTGGGTTTTATGCTTTGCTTTCCAAGTTGTTCTCGAACTTCAGACGTTTTGCTTGATTATTAATAGTTTAAACTTATGCAGTTAATTTTGTGCTGTTATTTCTGTACTGGGAAACAAACACATCTACACCTTGTTACCATGGTTACTATAGACCAGAGAATGGCACCCTATTCCCTATATAGTGCATTACTTTAGACCAGAGAATGGCACCCTATTCCCTATATAGTGCACTACTTTAGACCAGAGAATGGCACCCTATTCCCTATATAGTGCATTACTTTAGACCAGAGAATGGCTCCCTATTCCCTATATAGTGCACTACTTTAGACCAGAGAATGGCACCCTATTCCCTATATAGGGCACTACTTTAGACCAGAGAATGGCACCCTATTCCCTATATAGTGCACTACTTTAGACCAGAGAATGGCACCCTATTCCCTATATAGGGCACTACTTTAGACCAGAGAATGGCACCCTATTCCCTATATAGTGCACTACTTTAGACCAGAGAATGGCACCCTATTCCCTATATAGTGCACTACTTTAGACCAGAGATTGGCACCCTATTCCCTATATAGTGCACTACTTTAGACCAGAGAATGGCACCCTATTCCCTATATAGTGCACTACTTTAGACCAGAGATTGGCACCCTATTCCCTATATAGTGCACTACTTTAGACCAGAGATTGGCACCCTATTCCCTATATAGTGCACTACTTTAGACCAGAGCCATGTGTACCATGGTCAAAAGTAGTGCACTATAAAGAGAATCATCGGGTGACATTTGGGACGCGACCAGCCTGTGTGTTGCAGCAGATCTCTTGTCGTTTCTGACTTCAATCACTCCATTACTATAGTTGTGTCCTGTCGCCATCCATTCAGAAATACTTCCTCCCATCACGGGTTGTTTGATTATATCTGGTTCTCTTTTCCTTTGGGTCTATAGAGGAGTTATTTCTTCACAATATGAAACCTCTTGAGTCAGTGAATGTGTTGTAGATATGACCGGGGTACATTTGGTGTCTAGGAACCGCATTTATTACTATATAAAGGCGTCTTATCTATTTAACCAATGTATGACACTGCAGAAGGGTTATCTGCTTCCTGGTGTTGACAAACAGTAGTTGATTGTGACAGACTGTGGCTTACTTCCCAAATTGCACCCTATTCCCTACATAGTGCACTACTTTAGACCAGAGTATGGGCCCTGGTCAACAGTAG